CATCCCCAGCCCTTTTTTATTTTGAGGTAGGGTCTTGTTAAATTTCCCAGACTGACTTTGAACTTGTRATCCCCTGCCTCAGCCTCCCGAGTAGCTGGGTGGGTTGCTGGATGTATAGGCATATGCCACTCACTGCACCTGGCCTAAAACAACTTCTTTCTTTTAAAACAACTGTTAATTCACAGAAGGTTTCAAAGAAATATATAGGAAGTTCTTGGGCACCTTTCCCCCAGTTTCCCCCAATTTTAACAACTTTATACAAATATATAGTTTTTTAAAATATTTATTTTTAAGTTTTAGGTGGACACAATATCTTTATTGTGGTGCTGAGGATCGAACCCAGTGTCTTGTGCAAGTTAGGCAAGCRCTCTACCACTGAGCTACAGCCCCAGCCCACAAATATAGAGTTTTAAAACTAAGATTGATATCGGTATGATGTATACAGCTTTTTCAGATTTTACCAGTTCCATGTGTTTGTGTGCAATTCAGTGTAGTTTTATCACATACAACCTTGTGTAAATATCACCACAATTCAAATACTCAGCTTTGTTATCACCACAGAATCTTTTATCCTTTTATAGCCACAGTCTTTAATTGGCTAACAACCATTAATTGATTCTACATCTCCATAATTATATTATTCAGGAATGTTACATAAATGATATCATGCAATGCACATTTCTTTAGATTGGCTTTTTTCACTAGCGTAAATTTTTTGAGGTTTGTACAAGTAGTTTTGTTTGTCAATAGTTTGTTCCTTTTTACTAAATTCTATTCCTTGATAAAGATGWACCTTAGTTTAACTGGGTTTGGATTTTTTTATTTTTATTTTTAAAGTGTGGTTTGTTTTGCTGAATAGTATAGTAACTTGTGAATCAGCTTGCCCCTCTTTGAGACTTGTTTTTAAGCTTTTTTTTTTTTTTTAAAGTTAGGGTAAATCAAAAGTAGCCCTTACTCTAGACCTAGTTTGCTCCTATTTTTTTTTTCCTTTCTTTTTTTTGTGGTTCTGGGGATTGAACCCAGGGCCTCACTTATGCGAGACAAGTGTTTTACCACTGAGCTATATCCCCAGCATGCCCCTATTTTTTWAAGAAATAGCCTTTCTTAGTTGTCTACTAAATGACAACAGTTCTTTCTGTGCTTGATCAGAACTTGAAAGTTATCTCTATCCCTTAAAAAATCTAGCAATTGGTCAACTAATAGCTTCCAGTAATTGTTTTTTGGCCTGCTTATGTGGAATCTCCCTTTATGTATCCTTTTTATTATTCAGCTAAAGACTAAACCGTGAATGTCTTTGCAGATTTCTGTAGCTCTTTTTCAATGTTGCATCTTCCTTTCACCTATTTTGCCTGCAAAATCTAGGTGCCTCCTCTGTCTCTGAGACTTAGCAAGACACTGTGCTATCCAGGGGGTTTCTTCTTTCTTAAGTCATGGTCCAGAAAGTTCCTCCAGGCAAATGAGGCATAGTGGCAGGTACTTGTGATCCCAATTATTCAGAAGGCTGAGATAGGAGAATCCCTTAAACCCAGGAGTTGGAGGCCAGCCTGGTCAACAAAGCGAGACCCCATCTCTAAAGTTCTTCCAAGCAGAAAGCTGGAACAATCACATGGCTCATCCTGTTCATTTTTCCTTGTTCAGAGATCACAGCCTTCAGTGCTTATTGCCTATTGTCTGAAAATAGTTGTTTCACATGTATCACTCAAAAACAGTATTTTTAAATGAGAAGGCATGTTCAGTAAAAGCTTCTCTACTGTTTATTTCTAACACAGTTATTTGGAAGTTGAGATAGATTTTTTTTGTATAAAAAGCAGAATTTTTCCTTTTATATATCAAGATGTTATCTCAAGTTGAATGTTTTTTGAATAAGAAATAGATTCATATATATTCATATATAAAATTCAAAAGTTACAAACAGGTATACAGTAAAATCTCCTTCCCTCTTGTTTCCCAGTAACCATTTCCCATTCCTGGAGATGGCCATTCTTATTAATTATCTTGGGCATCCTTCAGGAGATTGAATGCATATTCTGGCAATCTGTATCTCATACAGATAGTCTCGTCAGAAAATGTGGGTATATTCATTCTTTCCCTTATGATCATTTCAAAGAAATGGCTTAGTCCCTTTTCTGTACTTCTCTCCCCCCTTTAAATCTTACTATATTATGGAGCTTTGATTTCATTACATGTAAAATTTTATATTCTTTTTTCAGCTTTGTGATTTATACTTATATAGAAATACCACAAAATAGCTTGATTGTTCCCAATCTTTTAAAAAATATTTATTTTTTAGTTGTAGTCGGACACAATACATTTATTTTATTTATTTAATTTTATATAGTGCTGAGGATCGAACCCAGGGCCTCGTACATGCTAGGAGAACACTCTACTGCTGAGCTACAACCCCAACCTGATTGTTCCCAATCTTAACCTTTGTTTGTGTGTGATACTGGGGCCAACTCAGGGGATTAACCCAGGAGCACTCTATCACTAAGCTACATGCCCAGCCCTTTTTATTATCTGTCTTGAGACAGGATCTCATTAAGATGCAGAGGCTGGTCTACAACTTCTGATTTTCCTWCCTCAGTCTCCTGAGTAGCTGGGATTATAGGTGTGTACCACTGTATTCAGTTCCCAATCACAGTGGTAAGATGAATATTCTTTATGTGATGTTTTCTAACACCAATAACCAGTTCTCTTGATTCTCCAGACACCAACTGGATGTTCTACAATTCAGTTTAATTCAGTCCAACAATAACTACCTGGATTTAGCTCAGACTGTATAACTTAAGGGCTCAGTTCCACAAGACTGCTTTGTGACCTTAGACACCAGTCTTAGGTCCTATACTTTTGACCAACCTGCTGTAAATCAGGAGTTCCAYCATTTCTTCCTAAAGTTAATTTGCTAAAATTGTTCATGGAACTCAAGAAAATAATTTACTTACTAATTCCAGTTTATTATAAAGGACATAACTCAGGAATAACCATAGCCAAATGGAAGAGATGCCAATGATAAGGTATGTGGGAAAGGGCACAGAGCTTCCATGCCTCTCCGTGCATCATCTTTGCAGCATCTCTGTGTGTTTTCCACTTTGGAATCTAATCAGATTTTATTTTATTTTATTTTATTTTTTTTAACAGTTGTAGATCTTAATAGTGACTCTCCTTGTAGCCCTAGGCATTGATTTGGCTGGGACTGATATTCCAACACTGTAATCACTTGGTCTTTCAGATGAACAGCTCCATTCTTGGACTGTTTAGGAGTTCCACCCTCTGTCACTTCATTATTATAAAGTCAGATGTGCTTGAAACAGACTTTTGAATAGGACTGAAAGATACTCCTGTCTTTCAGGGTAATTCAAGGGTTTTAGGAACTTTTTGCCAGGACCTGGGGGCAAAAGCCAATCAATATATTTCTTACTATATCATAATCTTTTTAAAATATATTTATTTATTTTTTGAAGAATACCAGGAATTGAACTCAGGGGCACTCACTGAGCTACATCACCAGCTCTATTTTGTATTTTATTTAGAGACAGGGTCTCACTGAGTTGCCAAGTGCCTCATTTTTGGTGAGGCAGGCTTTGAACGCCCAGCTTCCTGAGCTGCTAGGATTACAGGCTTGTGCCACTGTGCCTGGCCTATATCACAATCTTGTATTATGAAAGTAATTTAACTTATGTGCAGGTATGCATAAGATAAAATTCTAGACGTGGAATTTGTGTATTAACAGCTATGTGCTTTTGTAATTAATTTTTTTAACAGTTTTCCTCTACAGAGTTTGTATCAGTTTATTCATCTCAAAAGTGTACATATGCAGTGACTTGGTTTATTATTCATACCACTCAGTATGTTGCAGATCTATGTTGTTTTAAACAATGGTTCTATGGTACTCTTCAGAACATATTTGTAAGATAAAATAGTATACCCTCATGCTTATTTTTTATTTGTCACAATAAACATTGAGTAGAAATTTTCCATGTGTAGATTATTATAGCAATTACAAAAGACATGTTATACTTCAAAGAGTTATACATGATACTTTAAAGAGCAATGATAGCCATTTTTTTGCCATTTATTGTGCATCTCCTATGTGCCAACCATTATATTGACTTTATATATATATTATAATCTCTAAACCTTAAAATAATTTCAAAAGATGATAGAATTTATTGTCTTCATAGGAATCTTGGGCTAAATAAATTTCAGGCTTAAGATTTGATTTCAAGTTTGATTCTACCCCCTATGTTCTTATCATATTTTAAAGATTAGWGACTAATGTCATTTAGTTCACTTTGGTATTTCAGTCTTTCTCTCTCCTTATAGTGGACAATTAGAATGCTGTGATTTCAGGCAATGTCCTGGTCTTTTGAAGTTCTAGTTATCAAATTAAAGAAGGCCTAATTATAACTTGTAAGAATTTAGAAGCTCCAAGGCTAAGCAGTTGAAAGTGTGTGTGTGTGTGTGTGTGTGTGTGTGTGTGTGTGAGTGAGATGTCTGTGTAAAAGAAAGCATGCACACTTGCTTTTCTGAGAAGAGATGTTAATTATTTTAAATAGATGCCTCTTTGCTGTATGCTAACTTATTTGAGTTTTGAAAATTATGGGAAAATATTAAAACTGCAGATTACTGGAGAGAGAAGATGGGTACAAGTAGTGGTGAATAATAGTAATTGGGTCATGATGCTTGATTTTTATCTCCCAGTAACTTAGTTGTTGTTTGAATGTTCTTGTTTTACTATGTAACATTTGGCCTATCAGCATTATTTTAAAATATATCCTAGATATTGTTTTAATTATATTTGATTTAGAGTCTACCACAACCACTAAGTTGACAGTGCTTTTGTAAGAAAATTTTGGTCAGTATCTTTCCCAAGTTGACAAATTGTGTGACACAGCTCACATTTTCCAGACTTATTTTTTAAAAAAAAAAATAACAAGTAATYGTTTACATTTTGGATTCTTTTAATTTCAGTTTTTTTCCCCTTCCCATCCCATTTGCAGACATTTCAACCTACGAATGAAGAGGGATACTTCCCTTTTTAGTGATGAATTTAAAGTAGAAACATCAAATAAAGTACTTGATTATGATACCTCTCATATTTACACTGGACATATTTATGGTAAGTTCAACCTTACATAATCCCTTTCTTTATTTTTTTTTTAACACAAGGAAGTATATATTTAAAAAAAAAAGCATAAGAAAAGTATAAGGGGCAGGGAGGTAGCTCAGTGGTACAGTGCTTACCTAGCATGCTTGAGGTCCTGGGTTTTTTCTCCAGTTAACAAAAAAGGAAAAGCAAAGCATAGCAGATATTTCAGAAAAGTTGATACAAATCTTGAGAATTCAGACTATTGGAGGCAGTGAAAAAGACAGAATACCTTTCCATTTAGCTTCCCAGAGTACTAGCAGATGCTCAGGTTCTCTTTAATTAAGAATCAACCCTGCCAGTTTGTCATCTGGGGCTCTTGCTCTTGGAAGTCCACACTCAAAAAGCAGCTACATTGCCTGTGCTATGGATCTTTGGTTCAGATTTGGATGATTCCTGGGGATGGATGTTAGATGGAATCATGGCTACACATCAGGGAAGAAGAGACGGTGGGGCTGGGAGATGTTGACAACTGATTCAGACAAAGATGACCACAGGTGATTCTTACTTAGGAGATTTYTTCTGTATCACAAGACAATCCTGCTAGTTTTGCACATTCTTCTTCCCAGCCTTCCACACAATGAGCAAGCACTTGCCTTTGCCCTAGAAGTCCAAACCAAGCCCCTATAAAAATAATCCCTAAATAAGAGTGATCTACCTTGATCCTCTTTGAGCATAATATATGCTAATACCTTAGACCTGTAGTAAATTTTATGAGTTCTTTATCCTGTTTTAAAAAAAAAATTGTGATGAGAATGAGTGAGTTGTGAAGGGTAGGTGTTTTTTGAAAAATGAAGTAATCTTTGGACTTGTCTTTACATATATGTTTATGTGAATTATGAGATAACTAGCTTCTGAAAGGTATAAATTTTTTTGAAATGTATAAAATTTTGACATTTAATTACTTACAAACTGTTAGTATTTAAAAAAAGTTTTTTGATGACTTTTGATTTTCTGATCTTCCAAGGAAGAAATTAACAGTAACTTAATTGTGTTTTGTAAGAACACAGGGGAAAAAAAAACCCAAAAAAACAAAAACAGAGCAAGATTATATTAGCTAAAAATAATGTGATGAAGGCATTCATTTGAAAATCTTTCCAGGTCCTTCCTTCATGAGATTCTGTTTGATTTTCTTCAGTTCTAACAAATTTCTCTCATGACATCAGTTTAAAAAGTTGTTAGGAGCTGGGTGCAGTGGTACATGCCTGTAATCCTAGTGACTTGGGAGGCTGAGGCAGAAGGATTGCAAGGCTGAGGCCAACCTCAGTAGTTTAGCAAGGCCAACCTCAGCAGTTAAGCAAGACTCTGTCTCAAAATAAAATAAGAAATTAAATAAATAAATAAACAAATAAATAAATAAATAAAGGGATATAACTCAGTAGTAAACTGCCTCTGGCTGGGTTAAATCCCCAGAACCAAAAACCAAACCAACCAAACAACAACAACAACAACAACAACAACAAAACGTTGTTTGGAGGCATGAGTGGCACACTTAACCTTAAAAATTACATATGACAAGTAGTGTGGGAAGAACAGAACAATTATAAAAGTCATAAAATAACTTTAAAAACAGTTGGAGTCTTCTAGGGTACTGGAGGAGGGCAAAATGTCATTGTGTTGTAACTGTACATTAATAAATACTCAAGATGATCCCCAGTTTTTAAGAGAAATCGAAATTTATTTCTATATATTAGATTTTCACTCAATCATAAATTATGAGAACATAAATGCTTATAGAACTGTTTTAGATTTTTGATTATGCCAAGTAAATGGGGTGTTTCTATACGTAAACTTTCTTATTTATAGACTAATGCTAGTTTTTAAATGTTTTTTGTGCTCTTATAATTTTGTAACCAAAGGAAAGTGTTTTTATATCAATCTAGTGTACTGTTACTTTCTTGATCGTTTGTTTATCTTGGTGAGCAAATAACTTAGTAGTCTCTGCCCTTTTTTGCTGTGTGATGTTCAAGAAAAGTAAAAGTGTATAAATGAATTTGCAGATAAAAATGATATAATTTAAAATATGTGTCTTGGGCTCTTACTATCAGTATATAATTAATTCAAAGTCAACTAATTATATTTTAGTGTATAATTAATTCAAAGTCAACTAATTATCCCTAACAAGAAAGTATGGAAAGCCTGGGGCTGGAGATATAGCTTTAATGGTAGAGCATGTGTTTAGCATGTGTGAGGCCTTGGGTTTAATCCCCAGCATGGTTGATAAAACAAAACTAAAAAGAAATTATGGGGAAAGCCTGTTTTTTTCTTTGATTCTTTTCTTTTTGTGATACTGGGGATAGGGCCCATGGAAGCCTGTTTAATGAGAGTTAGACTTTTTTTTTTTTTTTTTTTTTTTTTTTTAAGGTTTTTGCTATGTTGCCCAGTCTTGCTTTTAACTCCTGGTCTCAAGGGATTTTGCTCCTTCTTCTTCAGCCTCTTGAGTAGCTGTGTTTAAGGACTTATACTACCACACCTGGCTTCAGTAAATATGACTTTTAAAACTTCCTTAAGGGTAGAAGGTGTGCATTTGTAATCCCAGTTACTGGGAAGGCTGAGATAAGAGGATACCTTGGGCCCAAAGGAAAGTGAGCCCAGGAGTTTGAGGCCAATCTGGGCAACATAGCTAGAAGTTAACTCTAAACAATAACAAAACCAAAAAAGAATAGGGGGACTGGGGAGTGTTGCTCAGTGGTAAAATACTGGTATAGCATGCTTGAGGCCCTGGGTACCATCCCCAGCATGGAAAAAATTAAGTAAAAGCCTCTTTCTCTGTTTCTCACCCCTTTATATCATTTGATTTTGGTGCTCAGATTTTGTGACTTTATTAAAATCTCAAAGTATCCTTCCAGTATTTTATTTTTTTTATATTTGTAGTTGGACAGCATGCCTTTATTTTATTTATTTATTTATGTGGTGCTGAGGATCAACCCAGTGCCTCACACATGCTAGGCAAGTTCTCTGCTACTGAGCTACAGCCCCAGCCCTCTTTCCAGTATTTTCTTTCACTATAAAACTATAATTGATGGAAAAGTATTATAAATCTTTGTCCAATATCTTAAAAGGGATTGTTGATATACCTTTGTTCAAATTGCTTTTGAAATACTTAACGTGTTTCCATTTTAAAATGTTTTTATAAAAACCTCAAGGTGTCAAGGAAGTCAAAAGACTTACGTTTAGTATGTCAGGTGGGAAAGAGCTTTTTTTTTCTTACAATATTTAAAGCAAAATTTTCAAAAGATTCTTTGAGTATATTTATTCTGAAGGTGTATACTTTACTAGTGGGTCTCCTTGCTTCTAAGTTTAACAGTTACTTATTAGATGATTTACTATGTGGATGCCAGGTATTGGGCTAGATGCTAGGAATGATTGCCATAAAGATTGATGTTCTATACCATTTKACCCTGTTATCCTACTCCTTGGATATACCCTAAGGACTTAAAGTCAGCACACTACAGTGACACAGCCACGTCAGTGTTTATAACAGCTCATTTCGTAATAGCTAAGCTATGTAACCAACTTAGGTGACCTTCAACAGATGAATGGGTAAAAAAAAAAGTGGTATATGTACACAATGAAATATTACTGAGTCATAAAGAAGCATGGAATTATGGCATTTACCAGAAAATGGATGTAACTGGAGACTATCATGCTAAGTAAAATAAGCSAGTCCCCAAACAAAAGGCTGAATTTTCTCTCCGATATATGGATGCTAACAACATTAAAGTGTGTATGGTGGGGAAGGGAGAATAGAAATTCATTGGATTAGACAATAGGGAATGAATGGAAGGGAGAAAGGATGGGAATAGAAAAGGCAGTAGAATGAATTGAACATAACTTTCCTATGCTCATATATAAATATATGATCTGCGAAACTCAACATCATGTACAACCACAAGAACGAAATCCTAATTAGAATAAGTTATACTCCATGTATGTATAACATGTCAAAATAAATTCTACTATCATGTGTATCTAAAGGAACAAATAAAAAAAAGTGGGAAAAAAAGCCTGTGATGTTTTAAATAGACTTAAAGACAAAAATAACATGATTATCTCAGTAGGTGCAGAAAAAGCATTTGACAAAGTACAGCATCCATTCTTGTTTAAAACATTAGAAAAACTAGGGATAGAAGGAACTTACCTCAACATTATAAAGGCTATATATGACAAACCCAAGGCTGGCATTATTCTGAATGGAGAAAAACTGAAAGCATTTCCTCTAAAAACAAAGACAAGACAAGAATGCCCACTTTTACCACTCCTATTCAACATAGTCCTTGATACTCTAGCCAGATCAATTAGGCAATTGAAGGAAATTAAAGGTTATGAATAGTAAAAGAAGATCTCAAATTATATCTGCTTGCCAATGCGATAATCCAAAAAACTCTATCAGAAGTCTTTTAGAGCTCATAGATGAATTCAACAAAGTAGCAGGGTATGACATCAACACCCATAAATGAATTTCACTCCTACACCTCAATGTTGAATCTGCTGAAAAGAAATTAGGAAAACTATCCCATTCACAATAGCTTCAAAATGAAAAGGGAAAACAAACAAACAAACCAAAAAACCACCTGAACAAACTTGGGAATCAGTTTATCACAAGAGGTGAAGGATTTCTATAATGAAAACTATAGAACACTAAAGAAAGAAATTGAAAAAAACCTTAGAAGATTAGAAAGACTACCCATTTTCTTTGTTAAGCAGAATTAATGTTGTTAAAATGTTCATACTACCAAACACACTCTACAGATTCAATGCAGTTCCCACTAAAATTCCAGTGATGTTCTTCACAGAAATAGAAAAAGCAGTCATGAAATTCATTTGGAAAAATGAGAAACCCAGAATAGCCAAAGYAATCCTTAACATTAGCAAGAAATGTGAAGCAGGAGGCATCACAATACCACATCTCAAATTATACTACAAAGCTATAGCAACAGAAACAGCATGGTACTGGCACCAAAACAGGCATGAAGACCAATGGAATAGAATGTAAGACACAAAGACAAACCCACATAAATATAGTTATCTAGACAAAGGTGCCAAAAACATAYATTGGAGAAAAGATAGCCTTTTTAATAAATCGTGCTGGGAAAACTGGAAATTCCATATGTACTAGAATGAAATTTAACCTCTATCTCTCACCCTGCACAAAAGTCAACTCAAAGTGGATCAAGGCCTAGGTATTAGACCAGAAACCCTACCCCAGCTAGAAGAAAATGTAGGCCCAAGTCTTCAACATAGCAGCTCTGGAACTAACTTCCTTAGCAAGATTCCTAAGGTGCAAGAAGTAAAATAAAAGCATCAGTAAATGGGATGGCATCAAATTAAAAAGCTTCTTCATGGCAAAGGAAACAGGAGTGTGAAGAGAAAGCCTATAGAATGGGAGAAAAAACAAATAACCCAGTCAATAAATACAGGAACTGAACAGGCACTTCACAGAAGAAATACAAATGGTCAACAAAAATGAAAAAAAATTGTCAACATCTCTAGCAATTAGAGAAATGCAAATTAAAACTAACACTGAGATTTCATCTAAGAATGACAATTATCAAGAATATAGGTAATAGTAAATATTGGTGAGGATGTGAGGAAAAGGGTACACTCATACATTGTTGGTGGGACTGCAGATTGGTGCAATCACTCTGGAAAGCAGTTGGGAGATTCCTGAAAAATCTAGGAATGGATTTGACCCAGCTACCCCATATCACAGTATATATTTCAAAGCATTTAAAAACAGCATACCATAGTGATACTACCACATCAACGTTTATAGCGCACAATTCTTAATAGCTAAACAATAGAGCCAACCTAGATTCCCTTCAATAGAAGAATGGATAAAGAAAATGTGGTATATATAAACAATGGAGTATTACTCAGCCATAAAGAAGAATGACTGTGGCATTTGCTGGTAAATGAATGAAACTGAAGGCGCTCATGCTAAGTGAAATAAGCCAATCCGCAAAGTCAAAGGTCATATATTATTTCTTATATGTGGAAGCAATCTAAAATAAGGTAGGAAGAATAAAAAAAATAGAAGTAAGATCAGTGGAGTAGACAAAAGGGGGGATTGAAGGGAAGTGGGGGAGAGATGGGATAAAGAAAGACAATGGAATGAATCTGACCTAATATTCCTATGTACATGTATGAATATACCACAGTTATATATTTATGTCCATCCACAAGACACAAATCGAAAAAAAAMCTATAAGTAATAGCAGAAAGATCAGTGGAGTGGAGGGAAGGGAATGGTGGTAGGAGTAATGAAGAGGAAGGAGACATACTCKGGATTGAATTAGAACAAATTATAGTCCTGCATCTATAATTGTGTCCAAAAAAATTCACTTGTCATGTATAACTAAAAAGAACCAATAAAAAGACTGATGTTCTATTTTTTATTGTTAGTGATTATATGTTTCAGCTAAATGCTAGTTGTTGTTCATATCTCAAATTCAACTTGATATTTTTATGTGGAAATTAATATCCCCAGTAAATTTGTACTCGGGATTTTTGAMAAAAATGTGTAAGAATTGATTTTTAAAGGATAATGAATTTACTCTTCATTTGCAAATTAAAATTTGAGGAATTTGTTTTTATTAATAGGTGAAGAAGGAAGTTTTAGCCATGGGTCTGTTATTGATGGAAGATTTGAAGGATTCATCCAGACTCGTGGTGGAACATTTTATGTTGAGCCAGCAGAGAGATATATTAAAGACCGAGTTCTCCCATTTCACTCTGTCATTTATCATGAAGATGATATTAGTAAGTACTTAAATTTTATCAGTAGTAACTTTTTGCAAAAAGGCATAAGAATAGTTAAAACTATGTGAAGACAAATGAAGCCTGAGCTATTTTCTTTCCTAAAACATTTATCAGGCTAGAAAACAGTTTTACAAAGTCTCAATTAAATGAATAATGCATCTATATAGTGGGTCAGTTTTCTTGTCAATCCACATCACTCCTGCTTTAAAACCAGTTCTGTGTGAACTGTCAGTCAGTCAGATCCAGTTGAATCGGGAATGCTATATTCTGATATCAGCCAGGCTAATGCCTACACCTGTGTTTTTATGGCCTACTGAGGGTATATCATTATTATCTTCTTATATAAGTTATCATGTGTGTATAATATTTATGGAACATTTTAGGTATTTTTGTGATTTCTAAATCCTTTGAGTCTTTCTGGAATATTGAGATAATGACTTGATCTCAGTTTGATTTTTTTTCCCCCCACTGCTGTGACTGAAAGACCTGACCAGAAAAACTGTAGAGGAGGAGAAAAGGTTTCTTTAGGGGCTCATGGTTTCAGAGGTCTCAGTCCATAAGTGGCTGGCTCCATTTTTTTTGGGTTCAAGATTAGGCAGGGCATCATTACTGAAGAGTGTGGCCGAGGGAAGCAGCTCACATGACCATCAGAAAGCAGAGAGAAACTCCACTCACCAGCTACAAATGTACACCCTAAAGCCATGCCCCCACACCCCACCTCCTCCAGCCATACCTCACTTGCTTTCAGTCACAGCTTAATCCCATCTGGTGATTAATTCACTGATTGGGTTAAGGCTCTCGTAACCCCTGTCATTTCTTAACTTTGTTTCATTGTCTTTTTTTTTTTTTTTTTAAAAGAGAGAGTGAGAGAGAGAATTTTTTTTAAATATTTATTTTTTAGTATTTGGCGCACACAGCATCTTTGTTTGTATGTGGTGCCGAGGATCGAACCCTGTCCGCATGCATGCCAGGTGAGCGTGATACTGCTTGAACCACATCCCCAGCCTTCTTTCATTGTCTTATATATGAACTTTTGGTAACACCTCATATCTAAACCATAACATTTGGTAAGATTCCAGGTTAATCGTGGATTTTGTCCTCTTCTGTGGTCTTTATATAATGATAATTTATTTGGAGAATTCTTTTTCTGTATTTTAAGAATAGAAAACATGCCAGGTACAGTGGCACATGCTGGTAATCCCAGTGATACAGGGAGGTTGAGGCAGGATGGCAAATTCAAAGCCAGCCTCAGTAACTTAGTAGTAAGCCCTAAGCAATTTAGGGAGACTGTGTCTCAAAATAAAAAATAAAAAGGGGCTGGGGATGTTGCTCAGTGGGTAAGTACCCTTGAGTTCAATCCTGGGTACCAAAAAAACCAAAACCAAAACCAAACCAAAATAATCCCCACACGTATGTATATTCCTCTAAGAATATAAGTTTCTCATATAAATAAAATAATACTCTTTATTTTATTTATTTATTATTGTTATTAGGCTCATCTCTGAGTTTTCGCCTGTTTTTCTAACTTGGTAGCTTCCTTCTGGCTTTATTTTTTTCCCTTACAGACATGAATATATTATCAATAATTGCATTTTCACTCCTAGTAAAATACTGGTAAACCTCAACCATTTTTATTTTTTTTTGCCCCATCAGTTCTGACAGTTTCTGTACTTCCATCTGTTCAACTGCTTGTTATTGCTGATGCTGAATTACTATTGAAAACAGCATAATAACTTACTAACCCATAAATTCATTAACACTGCTTGCCTGCATTTTCACTCATCCATATTCGAGTCCTCTTCCAGCTTTATCTCCTGGTATTTCAAACTCTGCGTATCTCTTCAACCTCCAAACTACAATCCTCTTGCATTAGTAGGAATATGTATTCTGTGGATTTTCTTTCTTTCTGTTAACAGAATTTTCATCCACATGGTATGTGCCTTGCTTGGTAATTTTCTTAATTTTAATCTTTTTGTAAATTTACCTCTACTATCAGGGTATGTAAGTTTCTCCAATATTGTTGGTATTTCTTTTGCTCCTTTAAATTCCAAATACCATTTATCTGTGCAGTGGATTATTCATAAATGCTTAGTGAAATMTTGAAATACTATCCCTGGAATGCTTTTTTTTCCAAAATTAAGACCTTTTAGGGAAAGGTCTAAGAGGAAGAGTAATTTGACAGATTATTTTTTCCTTCCCATTGTGCTATAATCATACTTTTACTTTGTTTTACACTTCCCTTTAGTACTTTTTAGTACTTCTGTTTGTTCTGCCTCTTATGATTTTTATTACCGTGCCTTCTCTCTCTTGTTTTCCTCCTTATTATCTACTTGTAYAGAGTTCAAACACATTGTTTTTTCTTCACTTTCATTTCTTTCTTGTAATTACTTTTTCCCCATTTTTCATGCTACAGTAATTTTCAAATATCTTAATTTATGCTAACATTTCTTTTTCCGCAAAGTTGATGGGTTAGCTTGGAGGATCAGTGACATTGGATACAAATTAGTTTTCTTTTTTTTTTGCTATTTAACTTTATTATTAATTTTGGTTCTTATTTTTATACTCATTCAGGTAAATATATGTTCATTATGTATTTATAACATAAGATATATTATAAGTTCAGTAAGAAGGCCTTTTCATGTTCTTTTCAGTATTAAATATCAGTAGTGGTATTAAAACTTAAAAGTAGTGTTAAACTACTAAAGTCAGCTTTTTGTTGCTGTGACCAAAATACTTGGCAAGAATTAACTTAGAGGAGGGAAAGTTTATTTGGGGCTCATGGTTTTAGAGGTCTTAGGCCACAGATTACGGAATCCRTTGCTGTGGGCCTTAGGCAGAGGATCAAGGGGAAAGGGGCCACTCAGGTCTTCCTGCCACATCCCACCTGCTTATAATTACCTCCCAGTCAGCCTAGTTAAAGTAGGATGGACTGATCAGGTAACAGCTCTTATAATCCATTCATATCACTTCTGAATTCCTGCATTAACACAGTAGCTTTGGTTGGTGGTGGGGCATCTCATATTCAGGTCATAACAAGTAGGAATGTTTAAAGTGATTTTGTTTGCCACTTAACTGGTAAATGAAATGTAGTGATATGACGGTGAAAGCACAGGAAGGAATTTCCTTGAATAGTTTTGAAATTACGATGTTTACAGAAAAGTAATAATGATAATTTATTTTTCTTTCTTTTTTTGAGACTGTGGTCTTCGTATGCTGCTTAGGCTGGCCTTAAACTTGTGATCCTCCTGCCTCAGCCTCCTGAGTAGCAGGAATTATAGATATGCATCAAGATTTTCAGATATTTTTTCAGAAGTAATTGATTCTAGACCAATATTAGCAAACTTATTCTATAATATAGATAGCCTATAAATAGTAATATTTTTGGCTTTGAGGACCATGTGAATTCTGTTGCAGTGACCTGCCATTATAGTGTAAAAACAGCCAAAGGAACATGTAAAATGAGTATGGCTATTTTCTAATAAAATTTTATGGACATTTTAAATTTGATTGTTATACAATTTCCATAAGATGCAAAATATTCTTTTGATTTTTTCTACTGTTTATAATTGTAAATACCATCCTAGCTTGCATGCTAAACAAAAACAGATAGTAGCACTTATTTGCACGTTGTTTTTATGTATGTATTCTAGGGGTGAAGAGCTCAATTTACTTTTAATTGACCCTTTTAGCCTCTCTGTGTTAGAATATTAAAGGTTTTAAAACTAGCAGTAACAGAGTTGTTTGCTTAATATGTACCTAGTATGATATAAAGTTCTTTACTTGCATTATTTAACTTCATCCTCACCATATCTTTACAAAATATAGACATGCATATTATTCCTTCTTGATAGGTGAGGAAAAGAATACTTCGAAGACTTAGGTCACTTGATTGTGGACTTCACGCTCTTTCATGCTCTTTTGTTTCACCCATGGGAAAAAAATGTGAAGTCTCATTGTCCTTTATTCCAGGGATTTCTGGGGCTTTACTGAAATTTGTAAGTCTCCCTCAAATCATACATTTGCATCTTGTGCTGCTATAGGCCAAATTCTCTCCTAAATATGTTTAGTAATGGGTGTTTTTGTTTTATACCTAATTAAAAGAAAGAGGCTATCCTTTAACATATATTATTATTTTCATATAGTTTACATAAGTGACAGTAATTTATTTTCATGATGGAAGTACTATTTGATTGTTTACATCATTGTATATGCCTAAATGGATTTGGTATCTCTGTATGTGTTACTCTCAGAAACACGTGGTAGAGGAAATATACCAACCTTGGGTAGGGAYTCTGATGAGGATTTGACTGCTCTCCTCTTAATACTGTTTTTGCAGCTGTACATATAAATGTATAAAACCTCAGTGAAAATGATATTGCGATTCTGGAGAGCCTTAGGGAATACTTCTGAAGCTGTACCAGAACACAGAGACAGTTTTTAGCAAAAATATTTAATAACATGTTCCAGATGCTTTGATACCGAGTTAGATGTGATGGTGATAACTATGTATAGTTACCAGCTTAAAATTCACACTTGTTGTATTCTGTATTGAGGTAATAAAAAGAACTCTCTAGGACATAGAAGTGCGAACAGTTATGACAAGGTAAGAATACCACTTAATCCTCTGTCTCTGAGCATGGTTATTTTGAAGAAACAGAAAAACACTGTTCCATAAACTATAATAATAATAATCTTAACTTGGACCACTTTTAAGGTCATAGAACTGTGATAGCTTGAAGTCATTAGTTGTTTAGTTAGTGCATGCACCCTTGCATCCTTTTGTTTACTACCTAAGAGGCAAAGGTAAATACATAAAGCTGCTGAATATTTGGGTTTATTCTGATTTGTTTCACATTTATTATTTATTTTTTTGTATTTGGTATAGGAAAGCCCAGGGAGCTTGAATTTGCCTCACAATAGTAGGACACTCTTACTTTTTAACATGTATATTATTTATAGCTATACTTGTTTCTCCTTTATCTTGTGCTTCAGTGGAAAGA